ATTTTATAAAAAAGAGGGAGGGCCGGGGGGGGGAATATGTTGAAATGTAAACAAATATGTGTAAGGATAAAGAAATTATTAGGATGGAATAGAAAGATGTAAAAAAAAGTTGGTATTTTTTAGCGGGAAAAAGCAAAAAGAAAAAAAACTATGAACAAATTATATATACACGAAAAATGCAGTGGAATATTTCAAAAAAAATATATTTTATTCCAGTACGTGCTCTGATAGTCCTGATGATAATAAGAGCAAAACCAGAGGAAATCAAAAATTAATAAATTCTTAAATAAAAAAAATTAAATAAACTTTTGAGCAAAATAAATTTATTTTTCCACGAATGTCTAGGTTTCTAACTTTTGTTAATCTTAATAATTTGATTTCTAAAAAAAGACATGAATGATAGACAGGTTCAAGAGAAGAGTGAAACGAAAGCAGAAGAAGAAGAAGAAGAAAAAGAAGAAGAAGAAGAAGAAGAAGAAAAAGAAGAAGAAGAAGTGTGGGAAGAAGGAGAAGAATGGGAGGAAGAAGAAGATGAATATACCGTGGAAACTTTCGATGGATCGTTTTCAATAGCCCTTTGAACTAAAAGGGCATTGAACGCCGAATTCATATTTTCTAGAACTTTAAACATACTGACAACTTTTTGTGAACTTTAAATGGTACTATTTATGTAATTTTTTCAATCCCCGAAACATTCTGTTAAACATTTCAGTCAAAAAGTTTAATCTATTAATTAAAGTTACTACAAAGCGCTGAAAAAAAGGTTAAAATTAGATTAAAAATCGTTTGCGCCAAATGAAAATAGTAAAAAGTTATTTAACGCCATTTAATCTTTCGCGATAAATTAGAATTTAAAATTGAATTCAGATTGTAATGGAAAAATAATGCAATGCTCGGTGAGAATAACAATTTTAACAATCTATTTAACATTTTTAACAGTTTAATATACAGGGTGTCCCAATAAACATGGGAATTCAGTGACGAATTCAATATCGTCTTTGTTATGAATTAGCATTGTAATACCCGATTTCAAAAGCATAATATTATTATGTCTGCTAGAGTTTATTTTATGAAAACGGTGAATGGTTGTAAAGATGTGTCTACAATGTCTTTGCAAGATAAACAGTGAAGACGGACAAGTTTAATCTGTTTGTATACTGCAATTTTCTTGTTTTACTAAGTACAACCGTATGCAGTCAATACATAAACAAACAAATTGTAAACATAGCAGAAGAAAATCTTTCGGATTACAGCTTTCTCAGTAGGTATCACTATACTAAATCAAAGAATTATTTGAAAAGGCGATATCGAATTCGTCACTGAATTTCCATGTTTATTAAATAAATTTTTAATAAATCAAAACCTATGATCAGTCTTATTTTAATCAATAGAATATTAACAGCTTATCCTAAAACTATTCTTATATAATTCGTTCTAAGAATGAAAAAGGTATAAAAACATATTGTACAGATCATGAAGTACACTTTGTATATAATAAAGCTATATCATACATATTTTATAATTATTAATGTATACAATATATATATTTCATGTTGGCTTCCAATCAGTTCAAAGTGAGAGACGACTTTTACACCGTTTTGTTTCTGGTATTGTCTTTTATTGCCTCTTTATTTAAATGTGGCAATACTAGTGCTTACTGCTCACCGCTCATTGTTAACCCTATCCCTGCTGGGGTACTTGAAAACCAGGATACGACCCCCCCAGCGGGAATAGGGTTAAATCCTTTTATACAGGTAATAACAATAATTGACAATGTGAAATAATGTCGTCTTGGTACGTCTTCTGAATGTCGTCTTCTACAATTGAAACCTTTTTTGACAAGATTTTACACGAGGTGTCGTCCATTTAATTCCGAAAAAATGATTGTCTAATTCCGCCCGTCCAGAATTATTTATCAAGTGTCATTTTTATGTTTTTTTTTACTCGGCGTACAGAATCAGGGGAAAATGACATACTACCCCAATTAGGTTTTGGGGCTATACATCTATAGACGGCGGACCATATAATGTGGCCCCGATAGAAATTGATGTATTATTTTCATAACTGTTTAGATTTCTGTGTTACGTCTACATTTCAATATTTCTTAGCAAAACAAGTAAAATGCGTAAAAAATAAAATAAGGTTACAAACTTACAATATTTGATTTTAGATGCATTTAAATCCTTTTTCATATTACGCTTTTCAAGATCACCAATTTCTGCAAGAAGTATCAACAGCTTGCTACAGGGTGTCTCACGAAACATGACAGTTGGTGAATAGTTTTGAATGTCTTCTTCTATATACTATATTAAAATATTAAAGACTTTTTGCAGTTTATTTCGATAAAAAAAATTGTAATCAAATATATTTTACTTTGAAATCAATTTCACTAAAATATGAATTCCAAAATTTCATGTCATATTTTTTTCTTTCTTTACGTTTGGTATCAAAGAATTTCGCAAATTAGGGAAGAAGACATTTAAAACTATTCACCAACTGTCATGTTTCATGGGACACCCTGTATTATATGGATAAATCAGTGTCAACTAGCTTATATTTTTGTCAGTGGTATACATTTTAAATGAAAAAGTATTAAAATACTAATCTATAAATTTAAAGTTGTTGAATTACAGACCAACAAGCAACTCAATTCAAATTAAAGAAAATTAGGTCATTTACCTACCACTCTTAAAACTGCAAAAATCGTCCCAATCTTCAAGGCTGGGGAAACGGATAATTTTACAAATTATAGGCCTATAAGTTTGCTTTCTTCGTTCTCAAAACTTTTAGAAAAAGTGGCAGCAAATCAAATTATGAAATATTTGAATAAATTTAAACTACTTTATGAACATCAGTATGGCCTCAGAGCAAAGCACAACACTACTCAACCCATTTACCAGGTGTCCCAAAAAAATATTTACTTAAAAAATACTTACAGGAACGTTTAGTGAGTGATGGCCCATAGTTGGTAAATAATCCATATTTGAGTAGTAGCATCCATAGTTGTGGGGATAGTAGCTTTTCTCACTACTTAGGTATCCACCCGCACCCTACACAATACATGGGTGATAGAGTACATTATGTACAATACAGGTTATACATTATGAACAATTTACGGTTACAGATTACCCAACATTATGAACAATACAGGTTATAGAGTACATTATGTACAATACACGTTATACATTCTAAACAATTCCTGTTACAGAATACTCAACATTATGTACAATAAAGGTTACAGCGAATCACTAAGTAATTTTAAGGTTATAGAGTACATTGTGTACAATACAAATTACAGAGTATATTATGAACAATACAGGTCATAGAGTACAGTATGTGCAATTAAGGTTATAGAGAGTTCACTAAAGAGTACATTATTTACAATATGTACAATAACTTATATAGAATATATTATGCTTGTTTACAAGTTTTCACTGTATTGTTATATACTACGATGACTGTGTATTTATATTTGGTACATATATACTGGGGAAATAAAGTTTTTTTCAATAAAAACCTAAAGAATAAAGAGGATCTATAATTACATATTCATTGAGATATATCTGTTGTTGAGTACATAGAGTTTATAGAGTACATTTCTTGAATGTTTCAAGTGTGTTACCTTTTCAGGTAGGTAAGAAGGTTTATCAAGAAGATAATTTGAATTAGATGAACCACTAATAAGGTCACCAGACGCTGGACTGATACTAAACAATCAACTATTCTAATATTTTCAACAAATAGTTTAGAAACATAAAACTATTAAAAAGTGGTAATCATAAAATTGTGGAATAGATAGACGACTATTCATTTCCAATTATGATTTTAAATAGTCCAATATAAAGCATGAAACACAGCAATTGTGCAGTAAAGACATAAAATTCAGATTGCTGAAAATCAGCCCTCTTATTCCGCTAATTAATGGGTCCCGCTGTATAAATACTGTTAAGATAAATAGTATATTACTTTTAAAACCTTTGTTATACAAATATTATGTTGGATTTTCAAACCCGAAATACATCATGCCTCAAAAATAGGGAATTCTTGACATTTTAACAATTTAATAAACATGAAAACTTTTATAAAAAATTCTTTAAGCAATTATAAATGATTATGAGCTATGGCAGCAGTAATACACTTTTAACTTGTTTAGGGTCGTCCGTTGTTTCAACTTCATTTTGGAAATCAATTTGTTTTAAAATGTTGAATCATGATTCAAAATGGCGCTGACCTGGCCGGACTCCATATTGGATTGTAAGCAGCTGAAGTTAACGAGGAGGGAAGAGACATATGAGGATCTGAGGCGGGGGGCGGAGAACTCCGCTCCATCTTGAAAGGTGAATCCCTAACGGCGGAGAGAGGAGAGGGAGACGGGGAGGCAGTTATTCGGCTTGAAGGCGGAGATTTAGACTTTATTTTTAGCCTAGATTTTTCTCCACTAGACTGTTGCTGTTTGGCTTGTTGTCTACACTTGGCTCGCCGGTTTTTAAACCAAACCTTTAAGAACAGAGTTCAGTCTTTGCCACAAACTATGATGTCTAATCCCTATATCTTTGCAACCCAATGCCATAGTCCTTATATATTTCAAACTATGAATTCTGTTATATCAAATAATTTAGATTTTAAATATCAGAGGTTTACGCCATCAGGTTGCAAAGATATGGGCAATAGATTATTTGATTTTGTGGCTTAGACTCAATTACTTTCTTTAATCATTTAAATACTTTTTTCTATCAATAATAATATATCCAAATGTTGCTATTTATAAGAAAATACTGCTGTGAATTAAGAAGTAAACTCTGTTTGTTTGTTTTAATGTTTAATAATAGTTCTATATAAATACCTGGACTCTGGACTCTGGGAGGTTAATCTTGAGAGCTACCTCCTCTCTCATGAAGATATCTGGATATCTTGTCTTTTGAAATAGTGATTCTAAATAATTATAATAATAATAATAATAATAATAATAATAATGATAATAATGATAACAGTAAAAGCAAAAAATAACAATTATAATAATAGCAATAAAAACATAAATAATGATCCTATAATTATATTAATGGCAGTAATAATGATAATAATGAAAATAATAATAAATAATATAAGCGATAAAAAAAGAAAACTTGAATTAAAAAAATTAAAATTAAAATTTAGAAAAATAATGTATAATTATCTACCCATGATACCTATTCGGAGGCCCTGATAGGTATGGATCGGAGGCATATCCCATTGAGTGATGGAGGGAGGCGGCATCCATCGTTGACATCGGTAAGTGGAGACCGTTAACTCCGTACCCGGACTACAAGGGATACTATTATATTATAGTACAGGTAGGTGGAGCCCGTGAACTCCGTACCCGGACTACAAGGGATTCTATTATATTATAGTACAGGTAGGTGCAGACCGTTAACTCCGTATCCGAACTACAAGGGATTCTATTATATTATAGTACAGGTAGGTGGAGACCGTTAACTCCCTATCCGGACTACAGGGGATACTATTATATTATAGTACAGGTAGGTGGAGACCGTTAACTCCGTACCCGGACTACAAGGGATACTATTATATTATATTACAGGTAGGTGGAGACCGTTAACTCCGTACCCGGACTACAAGGAATTCTTCTTCAATTTTAATATGGACAAATAAAAAATGGATTATTAACGGTTAAATGAGCTTAAGACAGTTGATAATGTTCATTTTCAACACACTTTTTTATTCAAAATGTTCTTCTTTAATAATCATTGGTGTTTGAATATTTATTCAAGCAGAATTTATGATTTAAATATAATAGGTTTGCAAGTATTAAAAGATATAACAAATTACGAGTAGATTATTGGTTCTTTTCAAATTAAAATTAACATAATATTTTTTCTGTTTACTGTGGAAAATACCTTAAAACTGCTTACTTATAGACTCTTTGTTAGTAACATATCTGGTTTTTAAAAAAATAATATATTTTTTTATAGAATTCGTACATCATTCTTATTATTTTTAAAACATTGTTTTAAAGGAATTAATAATAATGATATCTGGAGAATGTTTTGTGAATTTTTTACTTTACAGCTGAAGAAAAAAAACTTTTTGACGAGAAAAAATCAGCTTTTTGTCATTGAAGCTGTAAGGGTTAATTTTATGATTGGAATTTAAGTTTGAATAACAAATTTTTCATTAAATTAAGCTACATCATCCTTAAACTTAGTCTGTTGTTATACAGAACAGTTTTATATGAACTCAAATATCAAGTCCCAAGGGTCAACCATTAACCGAATAATAACTGAAACTTAATACACACCCATTATCTCCTTCAAATCCCCTCAGATTTCCCCATCTTTTGTATATATTTTCCCCCACTTAGCTAACTTTATATCAAGTTCCATCAAATTTTATTACTGACAATTACCTCATATAATCTGCGGGAAAAAATAATAATATTTTTCGGGTTCATCAAACGTTTTCAAATACAATCAATATAAAGGCTGGAAGGGGATTTATATACCTTCTGTTTTTCAAAATTTGTCAACAATAATACCCCCAAAGGATTCCGACNATTATTTGGTTGAATAGAGACTATGGCTTAATCCTAGACCGGGGATACCAGATAGTCTGGATACAACCTGATACCAGATACATACCATACTATACCAGACACATACAATACCAGAGCCGGCGATTTAAAAAATTCAAGAAAATACGACTCGGGTCTAAGCTGTTGTTGAGCCTTATTTACAGCTCGGGCTTTCGAATTTAAGTTGCATCTATTTTTCAACAGAATTTAGTTCATAAAACCGGTTTAATGTTGTATTTGGCGGATTTTCATAGTTGGAATTGGTGCATTTCGGGTTTTGATGAGAATAAGACCCAACATTGAGCCTTATTCTTCACTAAAACCAACCAAGGTCGGTTTTATTTTCATTGGGCCTAACTCCTTAAGTCGAGTCTAAGATCTCGCAGCTGTCAATCACGTGACACAAGCTGTCGTCAGAGTTGGGTCTAAGATTGGGTTTTAAAGTCGGGTTTAAGGAATTAAGACTCGAGCCGAAGCTTTTAAATCGCGGGCTCAGATTAAATACATACCATACCATACCAGATAGTCTGGATAATACCTGATAGCAGATACTACCAAAACATATTAGATAGTCTGGATACAACCTGGGACCAGATACATACCATACCAGACTAGATCTATACCATACCAAACCAGATACATACGATACCAGACCAGATACATACGATACCAGACCAGATACATACCATAACAGATACATACTATACCAGACCAGATCCAAACCATACCTGACCAGAAATATACTATACCAGACCAGATAGTCTGGATACAACCTGATATCAGATCCATACCATACTATACCAGATACATAATATACCGTACTAGTTACATACCAAGCCAGACCAGATACATACCATACCAGACCAGATCCATACCAGACCAGACCAGATAGTCTGGAAACAATCTAATACCAGATAAATACCATACCATACCAGATAGTCTGGATACAACCTAATACCAGATATATCCCATATCAGAGAAGATTACGATGCCACATCAAATACATACCATACCAGACCAGATATTTACCATACCACACAAGATCCATACCAGACGAGACAAGTTAAATATACTTTACCAGACCAGTTACATAATTGACGAGACCAGTTACATACCAGACCAGACTAGTTACTTTAGGTGGAAAAAATAATCAAAACAGCCAAGAGCTATTTTCCACCTAATTGCTTTATACTTGTACTGTTAATATAATCATCAATTTTGTGATTGTAAAATCTATATGAAGACAGATACATTTATTTTAGCAATAAACGTTATCTTATCTTATCTTATCTTACTATAAGGAATTCAAACAAGTGTTAGGCGGGGTTGGGTTGAATGGCTACAATATTACAAGTTAAATAAAAAATAAAATACATTATTGTGTTTACGTACATTTATTTATTTATATTTCTTAAATTGATATTAACAGTTGCACAAATGTGAAATGTCACAGTTAATTAACCTATAGTAGGAAATTACACCCCCCCCCCTGAACACATTTTTTAAGTCCAATAAAAATTTATAAATTTAGGAACTGGTTTATAGGTTATAGATACAAGGACAAAATTTAAATAAAATGGTTTAAACGATCTATTTGGCCCTTTTTCAGATTTTTTCTGTTTTTTTATTAATAATTCTAAATTCAATATAATTTTTGAAGGTTTTTAAATATTTTCTCCTGAAACACTTAATTTTGTATGTTTTTGTTATATTTCATAAATAAATAATCACTTACTAAAAAATAATTACTTACTCACAATAAGTTTTGGTTAAACAAGCATACAAATAATTATAACTTTTGTTCTGATATGTTTAAAATTATGATATATCTGTTAACTATATTTTAAACAAATCATACTTTTCCCCTCTCTCTATGCATTGTATATGGCAATAAATTAGGCAATCATCTATTAAAGGGACTGTACGTGGTAGTAATTTCAAGTGACCTCTCATTATTTAATGATGAGCACGTACGATTTAGTGTAACGGTAAACTTTAAAGTTGAACCCTTCAAATCTGAAAGATTTCGATTGTTTCTAAAGCAGAAATTCCTAGAGAAGCTACAAAAAAATAATCAATTTTCAAAGAATTGTGAATCTGACATGCACTTCTTGGAATTGAAGTGTTACTTAACAATTACATCTACAGTCCCTTTAATCAAATTATCAAGCAAAGGGAAACAGACCGACTTTGGGAAAGAATGAATGAAGAGAAGAGAAAATATTTTCATAAAGAATTCACTGAATGTCGTCTTTGATATATTTGGCGTTACATGTACTGTGTAACCTTTACTACTAGTGAACAATGAAAGGTTGTACATTTTTGTACATGTAAAACAACTGCCAACTATTTTATGTACAGTGTGTCCCTGTTCACATGATGATTTAAAGACGACCAAGTTTATTACTCAATATTATCGAAGTGCGTTAAACAAATAACAATTAAATGCTAGGAATTTGTTTAATATATGTCCTAAAAGGGTATTTAACAAGATTTTTAAGCTATAAGGAATAGATGATAAATATGGCATACTCGGTGTTCTTTAAATTTTCACGTTTAATTGCGCACACTGTACTTTGTCATCAAATACAATTTAAAAATCTACATCAGAAATTTTTAAATGGCATGATTTGAGATTGCTAGAAATGAGGAAAATAAATAGAAAGGAATAAGATGTGAGTGTGACTACAAATAAAAAGATGTGAAAGAAAAGTGTAGGAAAAGAAGAGAAGGACAGGTACAGGATGAGACCTTAGAGACGGCTCGACACGGAATACAGAATTTAATATGTTATTGCAACTGTAACCTTGCTTCTTTTTTGTCAAATCTTTTAGTTCAAAATTTGAAAACTTTATTTGAGCCATCACCAGTCATTAAAATCTCATGCTTTGTGGGCCAGGGAAAAAAATTGAATTCATGAAAGGAAACATTTTAAGTTTAGGAACGGAGAAAAAATTAGCCTAAGAAAAGAAAAATGTTGAGTCCAGGAAAGGAAAATATTAAATTCAGGAAAGGTAAAATGTTAGGTCTAGGAAAGGAAAGGAACACTAGAAAGGTCTGAAAGAACAGAGGGTAGTGAATGTGAAATTGAAAAGAAAACTGGAGAATATGAATAGATAAACACGAAACAATATAAATCTATAGAACTTGAAAACTTTGATATTTCCAGGGATTTGTCGTTTTCTCGTTATGATGATACCCTCCTCCTCCCCCCTGCTCTGTACAGTCTAGCTCCGACCCAGGGGGGACCTCACCCACTCCAGCCTTGAGGGGAGGGAGGGGCGGGGCAGAGCTGTAGGAGGAGAGGGAGGAGAGGGCGTGGTGTGTTGCTCCCCCCTGCATATTGGACATCGAGGACACCTAAACAAAAAAAATAGCAATTAGAAAAAAAATATAACTTATACTAAATATATATTGTCATTGTTACTTACGTCGTTTAATCGTGGTTTAAGCTGAAGTACCGGGCGTTGCCCGTAGAATTTAAAACTTTTTTAACCTAATACACCCAGTTACAAAATGTCAGCCAATTTGGTCCAGCCAAATGGCCTGCTATAGCGGACGCCGGACATATAAAAAAATACATTAACTGATTAAAATTGTACTGCGCATTCATGTGCCATGTACGTGCCTATGGGAGCAGATGCATTCGCACCCTCTCTATGTCGAGTAGTGCTGCTCCTTTTCATTTCCATTTATATTTGAGCAAAGAACTTTATGTTAAAGATGTTATGTGCCATTATCATAATCTTTGGAATCAATTCTTTACAAAGTGGGACCCATAATATTATGGAATAAGAAGACGACAGTTATACTACACAAGGAAAATAAAACAATGCAAGTGTCTAGTGTACATGGTGTACACAGACAACCCCATTTCATTTTCATTTGTTTACATGTTGCCACTTACTATTCCGCAATATAACAGTTTTCACAAAAAAAATGTACCCCCCCCCCCCCCCCNCCCCCCCCCAGCTTAGCCCTCTCCCTTCCTTTACTGTTTGTTGTCTATATATTTACTGTATAAAGTTACACTTCTTAATCCTAACTTGATATTCCTGCCTCTTTGTATATCTATTTATCTGTCTGTCTGTCTATCTGTCTATCCGTCTATCTGGCTATCTTTGTAGTCATCTGGCTATCTGTTAAATTATCTGACTATCTGTTTAATTATCTGACTATCTGTCTAATTACCTGTCTATATTTATCTGTCTATCTGTCTAATTATCTGTCTATATGTGTATTTATTTGTCTAATTATCTGGCTATTTTTGTCTAATTATCTGTCAATCTGTCTAATTATCTGGCTATTTGTCTAATTATCTGTCTATTTGTCTAACTATCTGTTTATCTGTCTAATTACCTGGCTATTTGTCTAATTATCTGGCTATTTGTCTAATCATCTGTCTATTTGTCTAATAGGGTGTCCATATGTCTAATTATCTGGCTATCTGTCTAAATATCTGTCTATCTGTCTAATTATCTGGTTATTTGTTTAATCATCTGTCTATATGTCTAATTATCTGTCTTATTATCTGGCTATTTGTCTAATTATCTGTCAATCTGTCTAATTATCTGGCTATTTGTCTAATTATCTGTCTATCTGTCTAATTATCTGTCTATCTGTAGTTATCTATTTTGTTAATGGAAATCCACGAAACCTCGAATATAAATTTAGCGTTATCATTTAATATTATTTCAATAATGCGTAAAAATGTCTACATGAACCATAATAAAATAAAGAAGTAAAGAAATCCCCCCTTTTATACTTGTACTGTTAATATAATCATCAATTTTTAATCCGCATTACGCTCTCAGTCTCTAAATGATCAACTTGAAATAGGAAACTTTGAAATATACATAATTGGCTTCAAACTCCCCCCCCCCTCCCCCCCTCTCTATTCTTATTCCCTCCCTATATTCTTATTCCCTACCACCACTCTTCTCATTCCCACCCTTTTTCGATCTTAAGCCCTCCCTCTATTCTCATTCCCTCCCTCTATTCTCATTCCCTACCTTTTTACTTATTCCATTCTCCCTATTATCATTCCCTTCCTCAATTCTTATTCCACCCGGCCTCTCTTTTATCATTCCCTTTCTCTCTTCTTCCCTTCCTCTATAACCATTCCTTCCCTCTATTCTCATTCCTTTCCTCTATAAAGATTTCCTCCCTCTATTCTCATTCCCTCCCTCTCTAATACCATTCACCCTAATGTGCCGCCAGTTTTATGAGTTGGCGGCATTTTGAATTTAAATCTGAAAATTGAACTTACACTTTCTCCTCCTTCTATCTACCTATCTATTTAACTATCTATCTATCCATGGACTAATCTTTAAATACATAAATCATCACAGATTATTTTAGATAATTGTTTGTTCGTCACCATTGGATAATTAGTTAAATCCCTAGAAGAAAAAACACTGAACAAATATTAACTTTTAATTTTAAGTAAATTTAATAATTTAGCTGTTGTAACAAACGCTTATTTTTTAAATGAAATACAAACATGGAAATAGTGAACTAACTAAAGCTCTTAATATTGCCCGGTATTAATCAGTGAAAAAGAATTAAGAATTAAATTTTGATCAGTCCTAAATAAAAACCATCATCAAAGAATGAGTAAAATATTTTAACCTTTGATATTTAAACTTAGATTATGAGATCTAACAGAATTCATATATAGGATTGCAAAGATATAGGGATTAGAAAATCAGAACTTAATTATTATCAAAAGTACTAAAAAGGAACTTAAGTCTCCTGATTCGGTAATATAATATGTTCTTGAATTTCAACGGATTCTAAACTTAATATTATCTAATGCGTTTGGGCGGGGGAGGGGGGGGGGCAAAAATTCTCGAGNCCCCGTCCCCCCTTACTTTACCTTGTTCATATTCTGAATATTTTGGGACACCCCGTCTCGTAAGGCTGTGTGTATTTTGTTACACCCTGTCCTATTTTTTCACGGTATTTATCGGATTAAAAACATTGTTTCCTGTCAAATATCTAGATTAGATATAATTTGATAATTTAAATCAGTTTTTATATTTGATGATAATTATGGGATTCAATTTAACTCAACAATTAATTATAAAAATGTTGCGGATTTTTTTCTCAATATTTGATATTTTTCCGGAACAAAATATTCTGGATTAGCTGACTTTTAGTTTAAATAATATTCATAAATATTTTTCCGTTTTACGTATTTATGCCAGGATGTTTTCTTTGAATTTTAAGTGATTTAGCTAGTTGTCGTGGGGGTTGGTATATACGGACAGGTAGGTCCATGATAGATATGTGTGATGATAAAAAATACATTTGTCATTTTTGATTCCTATGATTGTTTGATTACATAGGGGTACACTGAACACTGTAAACTGTACATATTTCATTTTCGAAAAATAAACATATAAAATGCATTTTTTATTCTAATAGAACTGATATTCAAAACTAGATCAAGAAACAAGATCATGTTTAGAACTGATATTATTCAAAACTAGATCAAGAATCAAAATCAAATAAAACTGATATTCAAAACTAGATCAAGAATCAAGATCAAATATATTCAAAACAACATCAAGAAACAAGATCAAATTTATTCAAAACTAGATCAAGAAACAAGATCAAATATATTGAAAACTAGATCAAGAAACAAGATGAAATATATTGAAAACTAGATCAAGAAACAAGATGAAATATATTGAAAACTAGGTCAAGAAACAAGATCAAATATATTGAAAAATAGATCAAGAAACAAGATTAAATATATTCAAAACTAGATCAAGAAACAAGAACAAATAAATTTAGAATTACAGGAATGACTTTGCGATCTTATAAATTTTCTAGTTTTATTTTAAAGTTTTTAAATTACACTTCATTTTAAATGTTTAAAAGTTAAATGTGGTATTTTTACATTTTTTGTGTTTACAACTTCATTCTTACTTTCGTATAAATAATTTTTTCTGAATTTACAAAAGGAAAATAGTCTTTTTGATATTCCAATATGATAGGTTATTTACATGGTGTTATATATAAAAAAACTTGAAATGGGTAAATAGAAGTTAAGATTAATAAACATTTGGGCTCTAAGTTATACATTTAACTAATAACGAAGTGTCCTATTTTAAATATCATAAAGTTTGTTTATTTCAATCTAAAAGCTGATCAGCCTAACCTTAGCAGTGCAGTAAGTAGGATAAATACTTAGTGGAGACTAAGTATTACCGAAAGCCGATTTTTTTCAAATTCAAGAAAAGCGGGTTTCAGTTTTGCTTCCTAGCAAGAAGAGGATTGATAAATTACTGAGCCTCTTATGAATATCCTCCCCCCCCCCCNTCAAATACACGCCACAGACCGGTCGAACAATCAAATACACGCCACAGACCGGTCGAACAATCAAATACACGCCACAGACCGGTCGAACAATCAAATGCACGTCACAGACCGGTCGAACAATCAAATAAACGCCACAGACCGGTCGAAAAAGAAAATAAGTACGCATATGGTGATAAAAATAATAATGTAAAAATAACAATAATTCTTAAAGGAAAAAAGCAGTAATAATATCACGATATCATAGCGATACAAATGAGAATAATAATAACATTGATAAAATAATGATAACAGTCTATAATAATCATAATCTTAATAATGATAATAATGATAACTAGCTGAAGTGCCCGACGTTTACCGTGGAGTTTAAAAAAATCGAATTTCGAAAATGAAATTTTAATTTTTTAAGAAATAAATTTCTATTTTTACCCTATGTTACTTCCAGGTTTTCACAAAAAAATGTCAGCCAATTCGGTCCAGCCGTTTGGCCAGCTATAGCTAACATATAAATAATGTATTATGAGCGAAGAGCTTTATTTTATACACAATTTCTAATATAAAAGTTAAGATTATTTTCGTATATAAATATTATATTATCATTGGAACTGGTCTATGGCTATTAAACTAGATATAAGTAGAAATGACTGAGGTCAAATCCTAGATTTAAAACAAATCCTAGGCTTAAAGTAGAGGCTGACTAGAGGCTAAATACCGGATAATTAAACATTATATTCCAGATTCCAGATAGGTTCTAGTTAACAAGGGATCAAGGGTATTTCAAAAATTTTGATGCTTTTTAAAGATAATAAGCATGGGGGAGGGAGGG